CCCCAAAACCCCAAAACCCCAAAACCCCTAATGGCAGGATAACTGATTTTTTGGATAATTTATGAATAGAGAAGACTGAAAATTAATAGATATATCAAACTTTAAAGGGCTTATCAATTCCGAATCTATGTGCTGAATCATAAGTATTAACGCACATACCTGTATATTTCTTGAACAGACCAGGTTCTTTTAGAAAAGCTGAATTATAGTCATTATTAATATGAATAGCTTAAGGTATAGCTTCATTAGCAAAGTCACAAACTGCTTTCTTTCTGAATAAAATCTTACTATTAAGAGTACCAACGTGGAGCTTGCCACTGTTGCCGTTCTCTGAATGGGTAATTATATTATGGTTAACACTGCTTCTGTTAACTATGCTCTTATTCTCATATTATCTCTCTATCCATCCTTGAGATGTCTCAGAATGAAAATTATACTTAGGGCTTGTTACCATTAAGTCATAGGCTTTTTAATGCTCAACTTACTTCTCTGGAGGCCTGAAACTTATAATATCTGTTTTGAGTCTGATAGGCTATATCTGGGAGCTTGATCTTTTCATAGAACTCTAGAACTAAGGGAGTAAAAACCCCTCAGTATCAACTTTAGTAGCAGTATTCTTAGTGCAGCCTATTGCCCATTTATTCTTCAAAGTTCCAAACTAAGTTTGACGCATGTCTCTCATTTCCTCCTTTTCTTAGTTATTTCTATGAACATCAATATTCTTGATAATATCCCTTTTAATAAAGTCTACTAAACCACCATGAGGATCAACACCAGTATTTGCAATCTTGAATCCCTTGTATTTCTTTGGAGGACTAAAATATTAATGTTAGTTACTGAACATTAAGCTTTATTCGAATTACTTACAATAGAAAGGGGCGTGATTACCCATATGTTTTTTGAATTGGAGCTAGTCTGTCTGGGTTAAATGCTGTAAACACCTTCATTGATTAGGCCTAATTTAGTTGTGGAGAATTTTATCCAGCACTTGAAATTGGCATTAATGTTCTGGCATGGGTTGCTGTGAAAGGTGATGTTGAAATAGTTCTTAAGTCTCTAGTTTGACTAAACTGCTTTCTATCCTTCATTTTATTATATTTATATTTCTGTTATAACTTTTCTTACATGTCTAAATTCATCCTAAGGGGTTTTGGGGTTTTGGGGTTTTGGGGG